TTTCTGAAGGGTCTAGGCCCGAAACGTCAGCCTTCCTGCTCGGCCTGCTGTGTTCATCCAGCTCTACACCTTGTTATCAAAGTATGTATTTAGTCTGCCATCTCATTGTCCCTCTTTATAACTTGCCCTGTTTCTGACTGGAAGAAACCTACATTTATCTTCACGAATTGTTCTCTTTTGCTCTTCATATACATAGTTACAATTTTCCAAAATTCTTCAAATTCAGGTACGTTCTCATCAGATTGGAAGTTAACAAATGTAACACCACTATTCAAGAAAAGAGGGAGAGGGAAAACAGTGAAGTACAGGCCAGTTAGCCTAACATTAGTCTTTGGGAAAATGCTGAAAGCTACTATTGAAGAAGTGCAAATAGAAAAGCATTGTTTAATGAAAATAAGTCAACATGCTTTAATTAGAAGGAACAAAAACAAAGTTGCTGGAAAAGCTCAACAGGTCTGGCAGCGTCTGTGGAGGAGAAAACAGAGTTGCTGCCAGACCCGCTGAGCTTTTCCAGCAACTTTGTTTTTGTTCCTGATTTACAGCATCCGCAGTTCTTTTGGTTTTTATTTAATTAAAGGGAAATTTTGTTTGGTAGATTTATTAGGGTTCTTTAAACTTGTAACTAGTAGGGTAGATGTAGTTTGCCACAATTTCCAAAAGGCATTTCATAGGGTGCCACACAAAAGATCAACATGCATGGGCTCATGGTTTCAGGGGAGTAATATATATTATCATGGATAGAGGATTAGTTGATGGACAGGAAACAGAGTGAAAATAAACAAGGCATTTTCAAATTGGTACGCAATGCCTAATGGAGTGTTGCTATTTACAATCTATATTAATCACTTAGATGGCAAGACAGAGTATTGTTTACTGATGATACAAAACTAGTGGAAAGTTAAGCTGTGGGGTGGATAGAGAGTGTGTGCAAAAAGTAGCAACAAGACAGCAGATTATGTAGGGAAATATGAAGTCATTCACTTTGGTCATAACAGAAAAGCAGACACTTAATATCTGAAAAAAGTTCCAAGTGGTGATGCTCAAACAGAGTTGGGTGTACTCTGACAAGAGTGCAGAAAATCAGTATGCAAATGGCCCAAGCAACTAGGAAGGCAATGGCATGTTGCTCTTTAATGCATGGGATTGAAGTACAGGAATAAAAAAGAAGTTGCTAAAATTGTACAGGGTTTTGGTAATATCACATCTGGAGCATTGCAAGTAGTTTTAGTGAGTGCATTTGCGATATGATATACATTGGAGGCAATACAGTAAAAGCTCACTAAATTGGTGTCTCAGTTAAGAGGTTTTCCATTGATCAGAACTGTGTTCTCCGGAGTGCAGAAGCGTGCAACGAGATCTCATTGAGACATGCCTGAAAACAAAAAATACCGGGTCACAGTGGGTCAGGCAGCATCCATGGAGAGAAATGAAGCTAACGTTTCGAGTCTAGGTGACTCATCAGCGCTCATCCAGACTCGAAATGTTAGCTTGCTTTCTCTCCATGGATGCTGCCTAACCTGCTGTAATCGCCAGCATTTTTTTGTTTCAGTACCAGCATCTGCTCTCTCGTTGAGACATACAAGATTCTGAAGGGACTGGTAAGAGTAAGTGCTCAGAGATGGATTCCACTAGTCAGAGAATCTAGGACAAGGAGCCATTCATTTCAGACTGCAGTGAAGAGAAATTACTTCAAAGTGAAAATATGAAATTCTGTAGGCCAGAGGTTTTTGGATGCTCAATGAAAAAAAGGCTGGGATTGACAATATTTGCTATCTCAGGAAATCAAGGGATATAGAGAGCAGGCACAAAGAGAGGAGAAACCTAAGATCAGCTAGGATTGTAGCAGGCTCAGGTGGCTCGTATGCCTACTCCTGCTTGTGCAAATTGCCACTCAAATCTCTTCCTTCCTCCACAGTTCCTAGTTTTCACCACTTCAAAACCACAACTTGGATATCTTGGATGACTGTGTTTCCTACATTTATGATCTCAGCAGATGGCATTACTGGAGGAGTTTGATCCCTGAATGAAACTTGGCTTGACAGGGCATAAGTTTCATTTTCCATATTTGTTCACTGTGGTATATTCACAAGAGGATGCCAATGTAATTTTAACAAATAACTTTTAACAAAAGAACACCAAAGCTTATTACACAAAAAAAAGAAAAAAAAACCCCAATGTTACACTTTACAATAATTATTTGAAATGGCTTTATAAGAAAGACTAAGAAAAAGGATTCAACCCTTTTACCCTCACTGCCACCTTACAGATACTCAAACTTTAGTGAAGGGTCACCCTCTCTCCACTTTAAATATCCTCGGTCAGTTCGCAAGCTGTAACCAGTTTCTTTTCAGCAAAATTGTGCATTCACTTAATGTTATTTTCTTCAATTACTGTCTCTTCCCAAGATCCTCAAAGAAACTGCAATCACAGCTCACTTATAATTTAAAATGGCAACTTACACTAATAACTTCTACAGTTTATGGAGTTTTCTTGTGAATCATTCAGGAATTTCTCCCCAGCCTCGACTGTTTTGGAAACTGCTGTTAACAGCGTTTTTGCTACAGACCCTTTTTCTATGAATTAACCTACAACTGCTTATGGATCTTGGGTGATACTGGATTGTTGCTTGGCAAGTGCAGTTTTTTTTCCCTTCTACTCATTTTTAAGTAATGTGCTAAACTATTCACTTCAAAGGTTTTTAAGATCTCATTTAATGCATGAAAATCAAACAATTCTGCAAACAAAGGCATAATACCACAGATGCTGGAAATTTGAAACAAATAGAAAATGCTGCAGAAACACAGCAGGTCTGACAGCATCTGTGGAATTAAAGTTTCATGTCCAATATGACTCTTCTTCAGAGCAGAGCTCTTCAGAGTTCTGAAGAGTCATATTAAACTCGAAGGAAGGTGGTCTTCAGTTCCAGGAGGATGTAAATGGATTGATTAGATGGGTAGATCAGCGGCAGATGGAATTTAACTCTGATAAGTATGAGGTGATGTATGTTGGAAGAATTAACAAAGCAAGGGAGTACTCAATGAATGGCAGGACACCAGGAAGCTCAGAGGAACAGAGAGATCTTGGGATACTTGTCCAAAGGGTCCTGAGGCAGCGGGGCAAATTAATAAAGTAGTCAAGGCACAAGGGACACTTGTCTTTAGGAGTCGAGGCATAGATTTTAAGAGCAGGGGTTTATACTGGAGCCGTACAGGACTTTGGTTAGACCATAGCTGGATTACGGTGTGCAGTTCTGGTCACCACACTATAGGATGTATGTGATTACACTAGAAATTGCGCATAGGAGATTCACCAGGATGCAGCCTGGGATGCAGCATCTTAGCTAAGAGGAGGCCAGATAAGCTCGGGTTGTTTTCTCTGGAGCAGAGGAGGTTGAGGTGGTACCTAATAGAGGTGTATAAGATCATGAGGAATATGGACAGGTTGGATAGAAATCGCTGGTTTCCCTCAGTTGAAGGGTCAATAATAAGGAGACATTATTTTAAAGTGAAAGGCAAGAGGTTTAGAAGAAACTTGACAAAACCTTTTTTCACCCCAAGGGTGATGGGGATCCAGAATGCACTGCCTGGGAGGGTGGTTGAGGCGGGTAAACTCACTACCTTTAAAAAAGTACTTGGATGAGCACTTGAAGTATAATAACATTTAAGGTTTGGGCCTAGTGCAGGACAATGGGACTAATGCAGATTTAGTGTATTTTTCATGGAACAGACTCAACTGCTGAATGGCTTCTTCTGTACTGTATGATTCTACGTTACTGACCTTACTATGGAGGGAAGGTCATTGATGAAACAGCTGAAGATGGTTATCCTAGAGGTGAGATACCTGACCAACGGCCACAGCCATTTCCTTTGTGCCAGGTATGACTACAACCATGTGAATTTTCCCCGATTTCCATTGACTCCAGTATTGCTAGGGCTCCATAATGCCACATTGTCAAATGTGTCCTTGATGTCAAGGGCACTCTCACATTCCTAATGTAGATGATGAAAACCTGAAGTTCCAGAACAGATCCCAGAAGAATACCATTTGTCACAACTTGATAATCCAAGAATATTTCCTATATCTCTACTCATTGTCAACTACTTCCCAATGAATTTTCAACCCATCCACTTGTTTACCACCAATCCCTGGTACTTTCAGTTGTGATATCCTCGAGTGAAATATCACATGCCTTTTCCTGGGAGAGGCTGTTAGCTTGCTTCCACTGTCTAAGGGATCCACTACTTGGGATCACAATCTCAGGATAAAGGTTCAGCTATTTAGTTCTGGGATATGGAGAAACTCTTACACTCAGAGGGTTGGGAAGCTTGGAATATTTTCAGATGTTCAAATATTTATCAATTATTGCACTCTGCTATTTTATTCTTTATTATTATTCTTCTATCTCCACCCACCCTCACCCCCTATCTCATTGGTTTGAATCCTATTTCAACACGCTTATTCATTGTTCCATTAGGACCCTGGACCAGACAGATTGAGTTGGAGCCCACTGCAGCAGTGCAGTTTCTTCTTGTCCCAGTAATGGTGCCAGTGTCCCATGAAATGGATCCCTTATTTCCATACCATATATTTGCTTTCCTGGTCTGTTTGTCCCTGTATCAAGTGGCTCAAGTAGTAATCCAAATTATTTAACTTGGCTCCCAACGTTGCCTCAACAAAGAACAGTGACAAAGCCCTAGTGTGTTAATAAAACAAAGAACTGCGGAGGCTGAAGATATGAAACAAGGACAGAAATTGCTAGAGAAACTCAGCAGGTCTGGCAGCATCTGTGGAGAGAAGGCTGTTTTCTCTCCACAGATGCTGCCAGACGTCTTGGTATGTTACTTGCCCCATTACAGATGACAGTGCAGCTTTGTGACCAGATATTCCTGCATTCAACAGCTCAGTGACATAACAAAAGTAGTGCACTAGAGAATACATAAATGCATGTTGCTCAGATTACAGTTGGGCTGCTCACATGAGCCTGTGTAGATACACCCAGATAACCTAATGTTATATGTACAATCCAACTCAAATTGCTGAATGCTCACCATGTTATCTTCAGTTGAGGATTCTGTACTGTGCAGAGAGCTGTTCCTCCCAGAAACTGATTCATCAAGCTTCTGTTCCTGCCATGTGTTGAATGACATTGCATGTTTAGGAGTGTAGTTTGTAAAAGCTGCATGAAAAGTAGGAGGGAAAATAACAGGAGAGGGATTGACAAAAATGATCTTTTAGAGAAAGATGCAATCACATCAGATCCTAAGTGGATCACCTGGAATCATACTAAACCATACGTGCTCAGCAAGGTACTACTATATGAGGAATGCTAAGCTTTCTGCACATTAACCTGTGGAGTAAACCAAAGCCTAGCAGAGCACGCCTGGTGGAGGTATGTACCATTGAACTTTACACTGAACATCACAGGACTGAAATTACATCAAAGTTGGAAAAGTGACAGAGTCTGTGAATTGCTCACCAGTGCTAGGCTCTGATGCAACTGATGGTCTCAAAGTCCACTCTATTATTCTGTCTTTACATTACTCATGTCCTCCTCTGTCATTACACCTCCTTAACTACAGCACACTCATCTGAGAAAGACAACACACAACACTTTTATGTTACACCTCCTGACCAACATCTAATTAAACAACACACCCTTATGTAGTGCTTTCAAGAGAAAACATGTTTAACAAAGGTATCAATAAAAACATTTTTGAAATCAAATCCACAAAACAGAGATCAAGATAGATGACCAGAAGTTCAAAGAAATAGATTTTAAGGAGCATCTTGAAAGAAATAAAAAAGAGAACTGGAAAAGTTTGGGATGTGGAAATTCCAGAATATTAGCCAAGGCAGTTAAACATATAGATGCTAAAGGTAAAGCAATTAGTATCAGGGAATCCCAAGGGATCAGAAACAGAGGAGTTTTGAAATTTGAAGGCTGGTCAGATTGGAGGTGGCTACAAAAGGCAGGATGAGGATATTGAGGGATTTGAAAATAAAGATGAGGACTTTAAACTTGGGATGTAGATGAACAAGACACCATAAGAGTTGATGTTTGTTCTGTATTTCAGACAAGTACAAGTTTAATTCCATAGGGATGGAAGATGAGAGGCTGACCAGGAGAGCTGTGGTAAGTCAAGTCTAGAGGTAACAAAATCAGATATCCGGATTTCAGCACCTAACGAAATGAGGCAGGAGCAGTCAGACAATATTACAAAGGTGCAAGTGGGCAGTTTTAATAGAGAGAAATCACTGATTTAACCACACCTCAGTATAACATTACCTGTCCCAAGCACTAACTCACATCCAGTTTGACACAACCAGTCCAAAATCAACATTGATGCTTCATTTTTAGTTGAATATTATCTTGTATGCCCACCAGCTATATCTGACTTGCTCACATTGTGCTAAATACTACACCTGAACACCATGGAGAAACACAGCTAAATTGGCACATTGCCCTTCATTTTCTTCTATTCTTGAAGTAACTAATTTACTTTCCCTTCTGCAGTTCAATCTCGGTCAGACTTAGTTCTGCAAGAACTGTGTCAAGCTCAACATTAGTAGTTGATCAAGTTGTTTTTACATTCTATGATCTAGCTGGGTAAATAGTGAAACAATATCAAAACCACCACTCATTAGAATACTTAATTTATTATCCACATAATTAGCTTTTCTTTTTATTCTGTTATCTCTGAGGAGGAGTTTTGCACTATTCCCCTAACAGTCACTAGGTAGCACTGTTGTTTTGGTTTCAGACTAGAACCTAAAGCACGCACCTTCACATGCCAGCTGACTGCTCAATTGTGGGTACTTGTGCATAGTTCTCCTGGTAACTGGGTGATGCAAAGAATTAAGCTCTCCTGAATTCAGCATCCAGTTGTCAAGAACTGAAACAGGAAATGCTGGGCAAGCACTATAGACCAGCCCTGTTGATGGCCCTGTGCAAGAGAACATACCACAATGATTTGAGTATCTACTCTTCACAGAGAGCTGAAGCTCCAGGGACTGGTAGCTGTCATGTACTTCAGCTTAAGACACATTATGAGTGCAAGGTTTTATGATTAAGATTTGGAACTGTCCCTTTAATTCTAGGGAAGATGAAATTGAAGGGAGTCCACATTCTGTCCAGCCACAAGCATGGATGGCTTAGTTATCATAGGGGTTGAAAGCACAAGTTGAGAAACTTACTGTGAGGTAGTGTGAAAAATATTCACAGCTGAAAACAAAGGCAACAGCAGCTGGCTTAACTACAGACAGTACTGTCTGTCTGTTTTTCTGGACAGATAAGAAAAAGAGAGAAAGAAAGAGAAAAATGTCTCAGAAAAACAATTATAAGTGCAGCTAGTGTGGTCAGCAGGGATCAGTATGCTGCCTTTCAGCAGCCTACCGGGGGAACATGGAGGGGACATGACCTCAAATCAAAGAGATTCATATCTTAGCAATCTGAAGACTCTGGAAGCTTCGTCTTGGTGTGGTGGGATACTGCCGGTCATCAATTTTGGAGTACACTGGAAACAGAGAAGTGCCTTTTAACAGCGCCATAATGTTATGATTCTGCGAGTTGGGAGAAGCAAATCCTAAACCTTATTGGAAGCCAGGAGTGATTTTAGGCTAGTTCTTGTAAAAATTGCAGATCTGTGGAAAACAGCAAGAGAAGAATAACTGTGGCATAGGATTTTCAGTTAGGTTAAAGTTTAACGGAAAATTTTTTTTAGTTTAGAGTAGTAATTGCCAATTAAGTAATTTTTAACAGACGTTGCTTTTAGTTTGTTTGTTGCAGTAAAAATCTTAAAACCTGAAATCCTAACGTGGAATTTCTTTAGGTTGGTCATTAGGAATTAAAAGTTGTTGGTTTCAAAAGAGATCATAACAACATACCTGAGACTATAGTATTAGTTCGCAAGGGGCTGCTTGGTGACGTGGGAGAGCTGGTGTAGCTGGGACGTGGAAAAAAGAATGTCGAGGACTGCTCTTCATCATCATTGTCGCTCTCCTCAGATTCCTCCTCTTGGATGAGGGAGTTCTCTGACGGATACTCAAATGTCGTGTGTAAACTGGAGTCATTGAAAGAAATCTTCATCTGACAAAAGAAAATAAGATGGATCACCAACCAGGTATGAGCTTCACACAGTCTCCTCCTCAAATTACCAATGCTCAGTCAGACCCCATATTGCCTGAACACTACAAAAAGAAACAATCTTGGTTCAAACCTGTGGCTTGAGCTCAGAATACACGTCCCACTTTCTAATTCCTCCTCATCTACCTATACAAAACACTATGGCAGCTGAGGCAGTGATTCTTTTTGTACAATATACTAAAAGAAAACCATCCAGTTACAAGAACTTTTCACCAGGCCCCTGTAGAGATAGCAACCTTCAGTGGTTAGAGTATAGCATAGGAACTACAGGTTGCAAATTCAAAACTGGAAAACTGGATAATAAACATGGAAAATAGTACGAGTAAGTCATTCAGACCTTTTGATCCTGTTCTGCCATTCAATAAGATCATGGCTGATCATCCAACTCCATACTCTTCCTCCCTTGGCCCCAAACCCTTTGATCAATTCAGACCCAAGAACGATATCTAATTTCTTCTTGAAAACATTCAATGTTTTGCTTCAACTGCTTTCTGTGGCGGAGAATTCCTCAGGCTCACCACTCTCTGGATGAAGAGGATTTCTCCTCATCCCAGTCCCAAATGACCTACCCCATACCTTAGCCATGTGTCCCGCTTCTGGACTCCTGGTCCTTGGGAACATCCTTTCTATGTTAATTGTGTCTAGTTGGAACTATAATAGCGTCTATGAGATCCCTCTCACTCTTCTACACCACTTTCCTGTTTTTGCTCCCAAAGTGGATAACCTCACATTTATTCACATTATATTTCATCTGCCATGCACTTGCTCACCCACTCAGCTTGTCCAAATCACATTGAAGTATCTCTGCATCCTTGTCACAGCTCATCCTCCAACCCAGCTTTGTGTCATCTGCAAACTTGGAGAAATTATATTTAGTTCCCTCATCTAAAACATTATATACTGTGAATAGCTGCATCCAAGCACTGACCCCTGCAGTATCCCGCTAGTCACTACCTACGACTCTGAAAATGACCAGTCAATTCCTACTGTTTCCTGTATCTAGAATTGACTGGCACCAGGAAAATAAAAATCAAGATTACAAAAGCTGCCAGACTGTAATAAGGACAATTCATTCATTGAAACAACTTTCCAATTGCACATGATCCGGCCTATCTGTAACTTTAGTCCCACACTGTGATTGACACTTAGCCTGCTGCAATGGCTTACTAAGTCACTTGATCATCTGTTCAATGGGGATAGGCATTAAATACAAGGCTTGTCATCATCACAGGCATCTTGAGAACAAAGAAAGACGTCTTACAATCTGGGATTTACTGCACGTTTCTGTGCAATAAATTTTGCAATAAGTCACACAAAAGTGTTAGGTTTCCACACAGGGTGACCTATGTAACATGCCTGCCTCAACTTGCTTACAATGATCATTAGTCATTGGTTCTTTAATCAAGATTCCAGCACAAAATACAACCTTCTATTACAATGAATGATGGTTGCGGAGAAATTATCCCAGCGAGGAGTAACAACTGAATGTGGCTTGGAGACAGTGATTTGTTCAATCCGAGGCTACAAGATGAGAACATGGGATCTGGTAGCAAAACTATCTTCAGGAACAAAACCAAAAGGGAAGGAAAATACCATTGAGAAGTTTGACAATATCTATATGGAGCATCTTAAGGAGAACTTGAGATTGAGGAGCTGCCCAGAATGCTCCAGTTTCACCACATAGCTCGGACCATGGTGCTTGTGTACAACAGCTCAAACAAGGAATGCCAAGTAGTTAACTTGAAATCTGGAATTAAGGAATAGGAGCCCGGATCAAAGGACCATATGACCTACTCCTGCTTCTATTGTTTATGGTATATTCAATCCAACATGAAGATCAACAATGGGAAAAGTCCTAATAGTCAGAGATTTCTGACTTTTAAAAATGGGCACATCTTCAAATGAGACAAACAAAAACTGAAATTGCTGGAGAAATTCAGCAGCATCTGTGGAAAGAAAACAGAATTAATGTTTTGAGTCCAGTGACCCTTCTTCAAAACTGATAACAGTTGGGAAAAGGTGCATTTATGTTGATGACAGAGTCAGGGTGGGAGTGGAGAAGGGGTGAGAAAGTTTTGTACACTAATTATTTGCAATCCCTTCAGTAAAGTACAATATTTTCTTCAATCCAAAACACACACATCTGTATAATCCAATATGAATTTACATATCTCTAGTGTACCACAGAGCACTTCATAGAGGCATAAGGAGAAAAGCAGGCTCCAAATCAAAGAGGCATTAGGTTTCAATAGAGAATTCCAGAGCACAAGCCTTGCCAGCTGAAGTCATCTTGACGAGTGACATGGATAAATAGAAGGATTGCATAAGAGGGAAAGTTTGGGAGGGGAGAGTAGGTGAATACAGGATTAAAATTTTAAATATCATCTCCCAGTTCTTCAAATGATGTTAAGAATGACTGGTAATTAGGACTTAGTGCAGACTCAGGCGGCAGAGGTTTGGATGTGTTGAAGTTTATGACAGTGAAGAAAGAAGGTCAGTGTCAACTCGGTTTAAGTGACAGTTGCCACGTTTTATCCTCCAGCTGTGGCAGGCTTTTCTGTCTTAGAGTTGCATTAATAAAACATAGCAAATCAGCAGAATTAAACTCTCAGAGTAACTAATCCAATCACATGGCTCAGAGAAACTGATGAACAGCATACTATGACAGGAGCCCAGTCATATCCGAGAGATTTTCATACAGGAATTTGCACTTCAAATATTTTAAATTTTGAACACTTCGCATTCAGTTGCAAGAAAAACCAGGAGGCGGTGAGCACGTTCACACTAATGGAAAAAGTTATTCACCGTTTCTACACAGATGCTGAACATCAACAGCAAATACAATTCAGATTTAGCATGTTGTCAATACCCTGGTTGTACAACTCATTTCAACCTGAAATTTACCAGCTTTTTCACTCCTTCCATGGTATCTCCATCAGGCCAGTCTAGATACATCACAGCTCATCTCCAATTTATAGCAGCAATAATTTCTTTGCATGAAAACTGCAATCAAAAATCCTTGAATAGTAACCCTGACATGCCACCAGCATATACAGCATCACAATCAGCAACACTATCACACACTAGCTGACAATATGAGGCCAGCTGGAAAACAGCAATCAATAAATCAAGTCATTTGTCGGCTGACATCAGAAAATCAGCACTGAAGTTATTAAAACCCAGCTAGTTCAGGTAAAGAAATCTATTTTCTCTGCTGTACACCTAGCTCCAGTGCCAAAGTTCATGGTTGACTTTTAATACCTTCTGAAAGGATCCAGTAAGCCACCAACTTATAAAACAATTGCTTTTAGAGACAGCGCTTCAATTTTCCACTGGCAATTAACAATAAATCATGCCTTGAGAATTAGTGCGCACAAGAATTAATATTGAACAAAACTGGAGTTGCCAACAGTGATATAGTCAAAAGCTGTGTTTATTGACAACATGACTGCTAGGAAGTTGCAGAAACAAAAAGCCCTGGCCATGTGATCACAATGCAGGATGGAGTGTTAGGCAAAGGGAGAAACATATCCAGAGGTGGACTGTAAGTGTGTCACCTAGGACTGAAATATTATTGTACACATTAAAGCATTCAGACCAAGTGGCTCGGGCTGCAAGGGTCCACCACGCACACCCCCACCCCACCTCCCCCACCACTCCACTTCAAGTGCTTGTCTGGACCTAAAGTCTGACCATTTGCAAGTAACTGTTGTGCCCCCACTCTCAGCCAAAGAGGAATAACAAAATCCATCCTAGGTCAAAGACTCCAGTACTTTTAATTTTCATTGAGTTTTCCCCCTTAGTTGGAATTGCAATACAATCTCATTCTTCTGATAACATACAGATCATATTCACAGAAACTACCCTCTATTTATTCTCTCGCTCTCTCTCTGCCAACCTCTACTTTATATATGGATCCTTTCCTGACTATGCCTTGTGTCCTAATGAATACCCACCTGTCCAAGACAGTTAGACACAGGCACCTGTCAAGCTTTGCATTTCAATGTTTGCATGTTAAATCATAACATTTGTACTCAACATGCTATAATACAAGGCACAATGTTGTCCTCTTGAATGCAGTGGATTATTGTAAAATACATTCATGTCTAGGGCCCTATCATAGTGGTATGATATCACTTGGACTATCTGCCCATGCACAGACAACAGCCCTATTTGCCAGCCATCTTGGTACTGGCAACACACACACAGATAGTCAAAATCCCAAGGACTAATTTATACAAGCTAAGAGAAAAGGATGCAGCTCATGAATTGTCTGCTGTACCAGTACATTTAACTGTTCATTCAGCAAATCAATTGAAACAAACACAGCATTAATCACCACTCACTCTTCTAAACAGTGCATTAGTGTCTCAGTCTGAAAATGAACAGAATACATTCAATGGGCAGACCATCAAAATCTGCTTAACTGGGCACATTCAACACAACTGGATTCACTGTTTGGGTACAAACTAATTCTATGCGCAGTCAAATCAACATTGAAAAACAAGTATTTAATTTAGTGGCCAGGTGTTTCTAAAGCAGCAGCCAGGTAATGCTCCAAGTGTGGCTATGGAGAAAATCAGATCATTAGTTTTACAAATACAATTAATTCAATGGTGTTAATGTGCCAACAAAGTAGTGTTGTTATCACTGAATCCACCACCACCAACATTGAGGTTACCATTGACCAGAAACTGAACTGAACAAGCCATATAAATGCAGTGGCTAGGAATTCTGCAGTGAGAAAATCACCTCCCGACTCCCCAAAGACTGCCCACCATCAACAAGTTCTAAATCAGGTGTATTGCAGAATATTCCCCACTTGGCTGGATGAGTGTCTGCCCAACACTGAAGAAGCTCAGCACCATTCAGGACAAAGGAACCTGCTTGATTTACACCACATCCACACAAAAAAAATCTACTCTGTCTACCACGAACGCTTA